GTTTTTGTCAATGAAAAATTAGTATTAGATTCAATGAAGATTTATTAAACGCGAAATTAAATAGCAAAAATATTCTCCAAAAATAATCTTAAAATAGCTATTCGCAAGAGAGATAATTAAGGATTACCAGTGTTATATGCTAGTCATTGAATTGAGAATTATAACTTTCTCAAATATTAGGGAACATTTAAAAAATTATGGCCGAGAAATCTAGTCAAATTTGGAAACAGTGACGATAATAAAATTAACTAATTCGTTACAGATATACTTACCTATGTATATAATTCTTAGTTTGATAAGATATTATGATTTTCGAATAAAAATATGTTTAGAACCCGTTTGAGTTCCAAGACTTATGTTAGCTGGGAAACAATTTTTACTCACCTCATTTCATATACAGTATGTGGGCCATAAAATACGGCGCTGTTTTATGACAGGACCATATACCTAGAACCTGCATAAGCAATGATGATCGTACAGCAACTAGCTCATGTAAAGATATGAATTGGGCCACTGCCGCGTAATTTGTGTGGTAGAGTACTTCATCATCTTACTTAAAGTTTTTGCAGATTACGTTCAAAGAAATATATATTATTAAATATGTATATAGGAATATATATGTATGTCGACATTTGCAAATTTAGGGGAGCACTTTGTCAAAAGTTGTTTTGGAATTTTGTCCTCCTCATGCCACTATTGAAGCTTTAATAAAGACCAAACGGCATGTCCTTTTCAAGGCGCAAATGTGGATAGATTGAGAGATGTAAATATTATATTGTGTTGGGATAATATGTATTTAAAAATTTAGTTGGGTGCAATGACAAGAAGATATACACGGTGATAAGAGCTCACACGTGTAGTATATATCTAAAGAATAAAAAGCTGAGTAATTTATAAGGCGAATTGATTAGAAGAAATATATTAAAATTTCACGATGAAGTAATCAACCATTCGCAAAATTTATAAAAAATATACAAATAAACTTCAAAATAAAAATAAAATATAAACTCAGTCTCCTTTATAATATTAAGTAATAACTAATAGCCGATAGAAAGTTCAAATCGTAATATCGCTTTACAATTCATGAATGACTCTAACGACTTCCGCTAGTACAAACGAAACCGTACATAAATAAATAACATCTACCAGCCCTACAGTGTCACATTGACAAATTACCAAAACTACATTGAAATGTTATTTATAGTTGAGCAATTGCTATGCTATCGGTCCCTGTGGCAACAAAACTCTGGCAATTTCAGCAACATGTTGCGCAACATTGTTCGTATTATTTGCTCTACAACTTTATGTCTCTCACGCTCTCTTTCGTCCTTGCGCCAAGCATTCCTCGCTTTGGAGTATTTCATAGGTTTCGTAATCAAATAGTTTAAGTATACATTACGCTGTTAAGTTCAAATGACATGTCAACTGTAGCAAAGTTCTTTAATAAGTTAGCTTTTTGTATTCGTGTTAAGACGTATTGAGCATAATCTGTGTATATAAGCATGTAGGGTTACCAAGTGAGCACGAACGCAGATACTAAGGAGTGACATTTTTATTATAATATTTTACGACTGAAGTCGGTTAATGTGAAAATTTAAAAACTGATAAAACGGATTATTATTTATTAACTTGTGTACATATAATTGTCAATCGAAAGATTATTAAGAGACCGATATATATTCCGTTTAGGAGGGCAATATGGATACAATTACTTAGGACTTCATATTTAATAGAGAGGAACTTTAATAATCAAAGGACAGTGTTAACGATTTCAAAGTTTTATGGTTTAAAAACATATTGGAAAATCAGAGCCAATCCCAAATCCTCAAGACCGTATTGATATTTTCGCAAAACAAGTTGCAAAAATTTTTAAACATAAAGAATATTTCTGACTGATTTAGCAAAGTTTCGAACCATCAATATTGTTTAATGAAGTGTAATGGATCAAACATAAACTTTTATGCAAAGTTACATAGATCAACTTTGCTCTTACAATTATTTCCAATTACAGACTTCTTAATACTTTTTTGGTCAAAAATGAACGGATTATTGTACGGAGGTATTATTCCACCACTCAATTTTTTGGGTGTATGTTCTTATTAATTTTATCACTTTACATCACACTGTTCTTTATAAATGACCTAGTTGAGATATTCGATTTTATTCTAGACCTTTGTTTGCTATATTTGGTAGAATTTTACTGGAATAAGCTTTAACCTTTCAGCGTGACGTTAGTTACAAGTATATCTATGTATAAAACATACTAATGAACATCTATCATGCATAACAGCCAAAGTGTACTGTTATTGTTACATATGTATTTGTTATATACATATATTCATGGCATCATTAGTATAAATATAATTAATTATGTAAACCTTTACATATATACATATATACGTATATAAAGATACCTATATATATATAGACATTTGTTATGTTGAATGTTGAGCTTGAGGGCAAGTCGATTACTTTTCCATGTTTGCATCACTCACCAATTCACCAATCGTAGGACAGCCAGTCGTATCCATTATCTTTGAGTATTTGAACAACATTAATTAGCTTATAAACGCAAAGCAGGTCAACAGAATGTGGACGAAGCGAAGTAGTTGGCAATCGGCCTTACTGTAATTGAGAAGACAAAATATTTCTATATATAAACATATACTTATGTATATGTAACTACTAGCATTCTAGTCTAAATTACTTGAAATACACAACTGTAACAAACTTACATATGGCACATGCAATTATGAACGCCGGAAAGCTAAGCAGAAAATAGCCTCTATTAACTATTTATAAAATTAGTTATAATAACATAAAAATGTATATTCTTATATACATACATACATATGTATATTTATTTGGCTTGTTACGTCATCGGCTCGAACATGGCCAATTCGAATTGATTCACATAAAAGGAATATTCCATCCCAAATTATATAGTCTACTGGGTTATATATACCAATAACATTGAACATTGGCACTACTATTGCAACACTTCACGATGACTAATTCATCTCAAAAATCGGCTACTACTTAATTTACTATCATTATTTGAAATGGTACCATAATTAGAGTTAATATCAATTTTTTAAAGTCTAAATTTTCTAAATTTATTTTAATTTTGTTACTTTTAAATTTCGTTCAGAACTCAATTTCGCTATTTTTATCCAATGTAAATTTGTCAAGAAAACAATTTCACTTTCAAGCCTTCTGATAGTTCTGGGACGCTAAAAATAAAATACCTATTCCTATTGTAGTTCCAACTATTTGTGGCAAAAGCCGTACGAGCTTGTCTCATTTAATTTTACGCCAGCGGTATAATCTCCGAATATTTTATTCAGATCGGAAAACTATAGCATATAGCTGTCATACAAACTGAACGATAAATATCAAGTTCTTATATGGAAATCTCTTTTATTTGTGTCTTATAGCTTCGGTGCAAATGAAGTTAACGTTTTTTTTTTTTGTGTTATACGCTGAAGAGGGTATATTAAGTTTTCCACAAAGTTTGTTACACGAAGAAGGACGCATCGGGTACCCTATACATTAAATATATCAGCATGACGAGCTGAATTAATTTTTAATTTAGTTATGTCCGTCTGCCTGTTCGTATGTCCGTATATACGCGTACTAGTACCTCAGTTTTTGAGATATCGATATCAAGTTTACAGGCGCTTTTCCGTTTTCCAAAAAGCTGTTTTTTTTTGTCGAGACCGCCGATATCGGACAACTACAGCATATAGCTGCCATACAAAATCAACAATCATACATTGTCCCAGTCCTTGTATGGAAAACTTTTTTATTTGCGAAGATATCTGTACGAAATTCAGCATGGACTATTATTCAAAGCAACGGTGCCCCCTCCGAAGTAACTCATCAGAACTAAACGATCGGCATAAAGTCCTTATAAGGGAAATTTTTTTATTTGACAAAATATCCACAAAATTTGACACGGATTTTTGTCTAAACTTTACTATCTCCAAAGAAATTGTTCAGATGAAATCAGTATAACATATAGCTGCCATACAATCTGAACGATCGGAATCAAGTCCTTGTATGAAATATTTTGTATTTGTGAAGGGTATTATAGCTTTGAGGCAACCGAAGTTTAAATTTTTTCGATTGCCATTTCTCTGTTCGAAATCATTGGTATCTAAACTGTTATTACCGCTTTCTACCGAGATATATTGCACATAGTTTGAATAAGTTTTTTTATTGTGTAAAGATGAACCACAATACCACATTTTTTAAACGAAAAGTATTTAATAATAGGTTTTAATATCTCAAGACAATATGTTTATAAAAGGAAAATAGTTTTTGCCCAATAGAGAGACCGACGTGTACGGTTGCACCTATAACCAACAAAATAGCAAGGCGGACAGTCACTACTCTCTTTCGTATATCATTTATTTGTTAAAAATTAAAGTCAATCAAATTATAATACATTCTACGCTTCTGATAAACTGGTATGTTAGTAGATTTCATTCACTTATTTTGCAGCTGTAGAATACTGTACCACCAGAAGCTGAAAACAGCCTTCCCGCTAGGTTTAATGTTGCATGGTAAGCAGTTGTCAAGGTGCATATTACAGGAAAATATATAAATATATTTACTTCTATATAAACAGTCGTTCGCACACAGATGCAATGCATGAAAGTAGGCGCCGCTCTGTGTGAGTTCTCTCCATTCTGGAGAATTTTGAAACTACTAATTAATTATTTTAATTGAACAAGCACGATTCAATGCTGTGGCGTTGAATTACTCTTAAATTAGTTAATTAATTTTAAATTATTGCATAACCCAGTGAAAACTGCTATAAGTATCTACTATCTTTCAGGGATTTTAAGAAATAGTTTGTTTGGAGAGCAAATCCTATAAGATCTACACTGTTTAATTATATTAATTATAATTACGTATATATTATATAATTACAATATATTATTTTACTAACTTAAATATGTTAAATCGAAATTACCGTAATATTCATTCCACAGAACCTCGTTACACTTTGCACCACACACCTCGCCAACGATATACGACCAGAGAGCGCCCTTAAATGATGCCCGAAATTGATCGTGACGCTGTTGCTGAAATGGTAAGCGGAGCACATGCGCCTATCTTCAGCACCGCCGCACTACTCGCCAAAGAGCAGCAAAAGTACAAGACACACGCCCGTCTACAGGCAACACTAGCCGAGCAGGAACACTTAAATATGGCCGCCGCCAGTTCATATGTTTACCAGAGCCCATTGACCATACCTCCAATCGGTCTGCCGCAATATAATAATTTCCACATGAACAATAATCACATTGGCGCATTGAATCACAATATGACCGGACAGCATTTAGTGGCGAACCATGCTTGCATTAGCCCCAGCAACAAAGAAAAGCTTGCGAATTTGCTAAAGGGGCTTGAACCCGAACAACGTATTACAGGCAATTTCCTACAGAAGACGCTTGAAGCAGCACCACGCCCCTTGCATAGCAACTGTCACACAAATGGCAGTAGTAATGCAGCATATTTGGAGACAACATGTTTGTCGGCACCTCCACTCCAGACACCCCTCTCGCCTCCACCACCACCGCCGCCGCGCGCTAAAACACCACATCCACGGCGATTAGAAGCTACTACGACGCCGTCATTAAAATCCTCCAAAACTCAAAATGATCTCGAAATCAAAGCTGGTGAGAATGTCACAGAAAGCTGGCATCCACATGTCTATGCGCGGCCACCTATGCGGCCAACACCACATTCAATTGCGGATATTCTCGGTTGGCGGGCCACCGCCTCGCCAAGTCAGCAGCGCACATTTGTCGCTAATAATGTCAGCAACAACAACATGGTTGGTCAACGGGATGCAATGGACGATTCATCCAATTCGTCGTCAAACGCAGCTACAGCGCTTCCACCAGTACCAGCTAAATCGCCTAAAAGTATACTACGTAATTTTCAACAACAATTTGCCCAACAACCGCAGTCACCGTTAAGAGAACCCGCGCATATGCGTAGCACATCGGTGAGCGAGGCCAGTGAGGATGATGCAAGCGGCAGTATAATGGATCAGCCTTTGAACCTTTGTGTGCCAAAGAAGCCGCGGGAATTGAGTTCTCCGCCACCACATGTGAAGCAAACACAGATACTTACCAAAGCCGGAACGAACAAGAAAGGTAAGTGAAAACTAGTAACAATCCATAACTATTTTCAAGGTATCGCTTGACATTCCCTAAAGACCATTGAATGGTACAAATGGTATTTTGAAAAAATTAGTGCAAGTTTATAATTTTAATAACGGGTATATATACTGCTACACCTCAATACACATTTTTTTGAGTGGTGAAAATAAATTGAGAAAAAAATACTACCAAATTAAGACTTGAACAAAACTCCGTTGTTCCTTAATATTCAATGCAAAAATCTTTTTTGCGAACGCTAGAATTGCCGCATTGCTGTCGGAGTCAATACTCACCTCTTTGAAAGAAGCTGCAATTCAAAGCAACTTAATAGCAGCCACTTCCCCTTAAAAACACTACGGTAATCCGGCTCCGTACAGAAGACTCTCGCTCAAATCCGCCCTCTTAGCCTCGACCCAATCGTGAAAAATCTCCCTACGCCTCTTCTCCAGCGACTTCTCCCCGTTTACATATCAGTGGTCAGTGGTCCAAGTTTTCAGGGATGCATTTGAAGAATGAGAGAATTTCAGTGTGACCCCTGGATATACCCAGTCTCTCTGAGCACCTACTGGCAATATCCACGGGTGCTATATGTAGCATTAAGTGCTATTGTTTGTATAGTCCGCAGTGCATCACAGATGCCGATGAGAGCCGCCCTTTGAACACATGCACGTTTCTTAGCAAGTGTAGCCTTTTCGAGCGCCCTTCACCATACAAAAACACTATAAAACACTATTGGCCTATCTACGCTTTCGTAGAGCCGAAACGCCACCTTTGATAAAAGTCATCACCTCTACCTTATAGCTTCTCTACAGCAGTATTAGGCATCGGTATTCTTTACAACTTCCTATCTGTAATGTAAAATAGCGTGTCCAGTTACAATGCAAAAGTACAAACTAAATATTTTTGGAATAAAAAAAGATAGCTAAGCAACTACAGCTCCATATTACATGTATGCTCCTTTTAAACAAATTTGCCCCAAAATATAGGTAACTTTCATTACATAAGCACTCCCTTGGGACCCCGTTGCTTAGATGACATATAATATTTATCGACATTTATAGAATACATTATAAGCTTTTTCCGTAATCAAATCACACTTTGCTGCTATTTAAGTATTTGCTCGCAACGAAAAGTATTTATGAATAAATGTCCGTACCACCTGAGTATTAAAATCGAATTGAGTTGTTCGCATTTACTACGTGTATAATATTCCTACTTGTACTTATATGCACATAAAGCCGCAATGATTCACATCCGTTATTTAAGTTGATTCGAAAGATGCTGAATTTTCATTATATAATTACCATTTTACATTTTAAATACTTTATAGCGTTTACTTCCACGTGCTTGCTTAGGTAAGTATCATATTAGCATATTTATTATTTCTCATTTAAAAGTAGGGAGCACAAAAACTAGAAGTTACGCCACTGTTAAATGCAGCGCAATGCTTATCAATGTGCATTAATGCATTTGCAATTAATCACTGCATCTTAATTTTATTTAACCGACAAGCTGATATAATTATACAGGTGCATATGAAATCAACTCTCATAAATCAGCTTTAAATTACTACTGGAAATTGATTATTCAAACGAATGTTGATTTATCTATTTAGAAACATTTTGAAATAAGCATTAAACGAACGATACCTATGGTATGCCTTCTTTATACAATTGTGTTTGTTTTTGTTTTGAAAATAACCCAATCTAAATGATATACGAAGTCGGTCGGTAAGCACACTTAACATATTGTACTTTTCAATTACTTAATGAACTTTCAAAATAACGAATTTTCGGATTATTGATGCTCCTATATTATGCAAAGAATTTTAATTATTCGATATTGTCTATGCTGCTATATTTTTATCTTAAACTTCACTTTCTTTGCAAAAACAAAGGTTTTATTAAACCAACGGTTGCTTAACTGTTGTACAAAATCTGCAGAAAATATAAATTAATCTTTTTTAAGTTTCCAATGACTTTGAATTAAAGGTAATTCAGTCAGCTCTAAATAGTTTTTTCATGCGGTATTTCGTTTGGTTTAGAAAGTGCAATGTCAAATAGAAAGCGTTTATCATTGGAAAATAAACTAAAGATGTTGGGTGATGTCACCAACGGGCTTACGATCCTCGGTTTGTACTACGAAAAGAAATCAAATTTAAAATCGACGTCGTAACCATATCCCTATTGTGGTGCCGTTTTAAAAACATTGGCGAAGAAGTTTCATTCAAAGCTCTACGTGAAAAATTTGTTTCCAGTGATGGTTGGATGACTAACTTCAAAAACTGCTTAGAAATGCGTTTCCTTAGAGAATGTGGTGAAAAACTTTCATCTACTGTAATAGTGTGGAGCTATTTATAAGCAACCTAAGGAATGTAATAAGAAATAATAACCTTTCCCACGAAGTATATTTAATGTAGACGAAAGCGATATTTATTGGAAATTGCTTTAAAAAAAAATGCGTTTTTCCTGAAGAAGCAACTACTAAAGTTGTTATCGTTGAATGAAATTATATATAAATTTTAAACTGAATGTATTTAGTTATTTATTTGAAAATATGGGTTTAATATACTAGGAAAAAAAAACCATTCGATGTAAAAAAATTTACGATTTTACGAATTCGGTTGGCATAACATTGAATTCTTCAATATAACATTCGTTATATTAGGTAACCACTGTAAAAGTTGTACATATATACATACATGAACATAAGATTCGTAATATTGGACGACCACTGTAAAAAAAGTATGCCTACAGGGTTTGATAGCAATATTCGTAGATTTCACAGTTATGCCACTCGACATATTTCGCAGACTTTTAACTTATTTTTTTTAGCACAAAACAAATTGCTCGCTTACCGAACTGGTTAACCCCTAAATAAAAAAAATCGTATGTGTATTTATTTATAATTCTGACAGTAATCCTTTTAATTCAACAATTTTGCATTTTGAATACAAGTATCTTAATTTACTCTCCATTAATGCTTGTAATATCCGGCAACCTGTGGCTGCAATAAAGTATATTCACATGCTTCGAAAACTACTTAAAGTTCTATATATCAACCAACTCAAAGTACAAATTTTCGATTTTTATTGATTGAATAGTTCTTTATTTATGATATACTTACTTAGTACTTAGGTATTCTTTATTTATTTGCAAGGCGAAATTACTCAATGTATGCTTATGTTATACATGATCTAAGAACGAGCTTTAAATTAAAATAATGTGAACATAGTTTAAGAATGAGATTTTTAATTAGCGACGTCTACCTAAATATATTGACCTAACTTGTTTGAGTATCCCGAATGTGCTTCGGAAGATATAAGTATTTACTTGATATTGAATATTTCCGCCATATTAAAAAACTTATAAATTATGTCCATTGTCTATAGGTCGCCGTTATCAATCAATTGTGATGCCAAACAAATGGTGAAACTTGTAAATTCTTATGAAATCATCATCATCATTTTTGTGACATTAACTTTTATCGCTTGTATGGCAAATCAATGTATCGGTGCACATTTCTACATGTTTATTTCAATACATACTTATATACATACACACACATACATATGTTATACTTGTATATTTATTTAATTTATGCAATATTAAGGTGCTTGATTGTCAAATGCGTTTTATTGCTGTACAATTAATTGATTCAACATTTTGCATTGTTGCCGTTGCGATTGTTGTTGTTGCGTTTGTTATGATTGCGTTCACGCTTTTTGCGCTGTCGCATGCACACAGTGATTACATACGACGCCACACGGTTGTTGCTGCCGCGTGTCTGGCATTATAGTCGATTGCATTTCGCATTGAAGTCACTTTATTTGCATTCCATTTTTACATTTTATGGGCAGTAATTTGCCAATCGCATTGAATCACCCTCTCACTTAACGACATTTAACTATGTGTGTAAAACAGCCCGCACACATACATACAAACTGACGTCGCTTGCATTCGGTGCACTCGGGCGCAGAGTGCAAAGCCCCGAATCGCCAATTCGTCCCACCACTGTCATCCTTCACGCTGCAACGTCGGCCGATCCGATTGCGATCGTTGTTGGCTAATTGTTTTGGTATTTGTGGTGACCCATTTTTCTTCATAATATTGCCGCATATATGCATGTACATATGTACGAGTATGTGTGCTCAACTCAACTCTGTTGCAAAATTTATTACGGAAAATTGATGGCAGCATTTTCACACACACACACTCAAGCAGACACGATTGCGCCAATAAATGTGCAAATGATATGAACAGTTATATAAATATATCATGCAATTTTTATTTATTTTGTATTAAGTGAGCGACTTGCTGCTATTTAATTTCAATGTGATTATTGTTATTGAAGCGCAGCGATTTGTTTTTGTTTATTGTGTTTACGAGTGTGCGTGTGTGCTTGTGTGAATGCGTGTGGCGAACAATATGTATATGTGGTCTGTTGATTTAAAATTTTAATTGTAGGCCGTTGCATTTTTATGAGGTCATTAAAAAGCGCTTAAGTGAAATTGAATGGGTGCGGTGAAAATTTCTCTTATTATGGCTATTTTATTTATGCGAATTTCATACATTTACTATATGCATATGTATGCATTGAAGTTACTTTCATTATTTTCGAATGAATGTGCACAGTTTCAAGTGCCACTTTGATTAATTGCACCGAATCACTGATTATCGTTTGATGCTTTCCATTGTTGTATTTGTATGCACTCATTTCATTGAATTTATGATGAAAGTTGCAAATTATTGATGCCAAAAATTATTGTTTCGCAAAAATGCGTAATGGAATTAATTCGTGATTAATTATTAAATGTAATTTATTATGTTATAAATTTATTCAATCGTATCTTGATTCGATAGGGTAAGTATTTATAAATTTAATTTTGTTAAAATCAATATATTGCTTGCCGACCAATATGGTTTTGAAAATATTGTCTATCTTATTTTTACTAGAACTGAATACTTTAAGTTCAAGGACAGACTAAAAAGTCT